GTATGGACATATAATAAAAACTAAAAGAAATACATGGAAATTTAACAATTGTTGACTATGGGTCACTGTATATCATTGTGTGTTTTCTAAATATTCTACAATGAGCATTATTACTTTTATAATCAGAAAGATCTAACATAAAAAAGAAACAGAAGTATGGTCATAGTTCACCTTTCAGAATTCAGTTGACCAGTTACCCCACCTATATAGAAGACCAACTCACTATCAAAAATTAAGCAAAAAAGACTCTGAGCAGCCAAAATACAAGTCACAAAGGCCACACCTAAAGGTTTGGGTATCATGTTCATCAAGACAGCCCTTCATACCTTCTTTTACACATATCTTAATTCCAACAAACTTGATTATCTAATGTTCCAGTCACATTGGGAATACAGATACACTGAGAGAGCAGTGCAAAATGATAAGCTTGGCCTAACAGTAGAAAAAAAGTGCCAACAATAAAAATAGAAAACAGACATAGACAATCACAAAGCAGTCCAGGTGCAATTATGTCAGAAACATCATTAAAGAGGATTTTAATTTTATTTACCAAACACTTGATGGTGTTTAATACATTCCAGATATTATTCTAAGTTCTTTAAAATATTTAGTCCTTTATTTATAGTAATATAAATACCATTATCTCCATTTTACAGATGAGCAAACTGTAACATATGATAGACTTTATCATACTTTCATAAAGTACGGTAACAGATATTTGCTATATAACAACTCTGAGTTAAAGAGTTCAAGGGAGATCCCTTTGTTTTGTTTTGTTTTTCTTAAGCTGAGCCACCCTGCCACCTGTTGGCAGCTCAGCGGCTGCTCAGCTCCGGCCGGGACTCGAACTGCTGTTGCTCAGAGCTCGCACTCTTGAGCAAGCTCTTAACCAACTGAGCCACTCGGCCGGCCCAAGGGAGATCCCTTTGAACACAGACTGATGGGCTGAAGAAATGAGAAAAATTCCTAATGCATTTTAGAAAAAAAAAAAAGGATCCCAAATGTTTATAATAAAAAAGTTAGCGTGCTTAAGGAGAATATCCTCAGTTATCCAGAGCAGTCACTCCTGCGAGCTCCATAGAGTGGAAGTTTTGCTACATTAAAAGGATTGTACGGTTGGCTGCATCAACCAATACAAATCTGGAGAACAATCTGGAAGGAAATGATTAATGACCACTTCTTTCCAAGGAAGTTTAAAAATAAGTATCCATAGGCATATCAGAACCAGCATTAAGACAGCAACTGCTACTAAATGCAGCTGGGTTGTGGATGTTATTTTGGCTTGAGTCCATATTCTGAGCAGGACTTCGGGTACCTTGTAGGTAGTTGGGCCCTATTAACTATTAAGGTAAAGACAATAGGCCCCATTCCATCACACAGGACACAGTGTGAACCAAAGAAATATTTATTCTCCCTCCTTCATATTTGCCTCCTGTGCTTCTGACTTCAAAGCAGGACTAGAAAGACAAGAAAGAAACTGGTGATGTGTTTATCTGTGGAACAAAGATTATGCAAACTGCCAGCACTCCGTTGTTTTTGTTTTCATCATGGTTATCACAAAACAAAAACAAAAAGATAGGCTCTACATCTGAAGCCTGATTATTTGCAAACAGACCGGAATATTTCCTCCTCTTTCAATAACGCAGCAAGTGCCCTTCATTTTACTTATCTGTAAGGTACTTCTTTGCTGATACAGACTAGTTACTATTTCTATATGAGAGCTTGACAGAGTCTATCTGAGGAAGCTGTTTCCTGAGTTATTCTAGTAGTCGCTCACTGCTTTAACACTTGCCAAAAATCCAAGAAAGGATTTTTTTTTAATTCCACACATACACCCCCAGGGATAACAAGAGAAAAATATAATCACAATCTTGGTTGATGGCCCTTTAGCACTCTGACCTCTCCAAGCTTCCATTTGTCTTCTCTTTGTTCCTTTTTCTTTAAAATAACCTTACTGGTTGTTTCCTGACTACAAAAGTATTACTTGGTCATTGTCACAATTCAAATAACACAAAGATATATGAAATATAATTAATAATCTCTCTCTTCCACCCTCTCACTCTCCTCCCACGGAAACCAATGGTAACAGCTTGGTGTATATTCTTTCTTACTTCTTCCTAGGGTTGCACATACATTTTTCAGACAAAAATGGGATTATATATATATATATATATATATATATATATATATATATATATATATATATATATTATTGTGCACCTTGTTTTTTAGCTTAAAAATATGTTAATATGTTATGGATACTTTCTAAGCCTATTCATCACATCTTTTTTTAATGGCTGCAAAATATTCCATAAGATAAATAATTCATTCATATCATTGCCCCACCTTTTCCAACTCATGGGTATTCAGGATGGATTCTTATCTATACCTCATGTCCTTTAATTTCAGTAACACAGATTCCTAGAAGTGGAGTTTCTGGGTTGAATGAAACATTTTTTAAATATTTAAAATTTTATCCTTAAACAAAATTAATTTTAGACTTCCAGAATTTCTGCTTCTTCTTTATACAAAATTTTGACATAAACCTTTCACAATTTTTTGCATACTTTATTTTTTAAAGCACACTCTTTATGTCAAAAACACCCATCATTTATGCCCATGTAGTTATAAATAAATAAATGCTTATGTTATAGCTCTGATGGCCAGCGTTAAATCACTGTTCAAATGCTTATGCCTTGGTTTATAAAAATAGTAATTCATTGTGGAAACTCCACTCCCACAGTCATGTGGCAGCACTAAAGTGGCAGCCCTCTCACCCTGTGACTCTCTGCACTGAGTGATAAGATAGGTATCAGGACCTACATATTTTCTAATTTTCAACAGTCAACCTTAAAAAGTACGTAGGGGGAGAAACAAGTAAACAGCAACATACACTAAATTGATAGCGATTATGGGTTTCCAATAGCCACAAATTACTTGTAGTACAATGAGTAATTCTGCTGGTCTATGCCAGAGACAGTGTTCCACAAAAATAAAAAACCTATAACCTATATGTTGCTATGATTGCATGAACCTTTCAGAAACATATTTTTCAAACATTTTTCAATAGAATGATTGGTTGAACCTCACCTTTACATTTTTTTTCTGTTTCAGTTTCAAACTCTAATTGCAAACTTTTTTAAAAGGCCTAAAAGAAATACATTAACTAATGAAGCTCCTTAAAATTTAATCTCAGACTCCCCCATATATTCTAAAGACCCGAGCACCAACAGAGATTGTTAAGACACAGCAAGTTTGATACAGAAGTGTGTGACATGCAATTAATCTCCATTCATACCCAGCTCTACTTGTCAGCAAACAAAGGTTCTGCTTTAGAAGGAGATCTGAAGACTTCAATTAAAAACAGTCAGCTAACAAGAATATAATCTAAGCTAAAGGAAGGTGGCAGGTGCAGAAATGAGTTGTTTACCAAAGTGTCAGTTTTGAACAATAAAGAACTGCACATCAAAAATGTTGAAGGAGAGGATTTCATTGCAAGTCTCTGAAAATAAAAAGGAATTTTCTACTGAGGCTGCACACAAAATAGAAGTGTAGTTTAACGAGCTTATAAAATAGGTTTCCTCTCATCAAATGACAGATACCAATAAAAAGGAATCACTTTGTATCTTTAAATGCAAGGGCAGAATGAAACTTTTTGCCACAGTACCTGCTTTCCTGGAAACCAAACACTTATAGCCTCTCTTTACACAATGAATATTGAATCAACAGCCGAGGGAAGGCTGGATGGTAGGTATCTTCTTAGATACCTAGATGATGCTCTTTTAACCCGCGAACACTTTTCTACTCTGCAATTTTACATTTACTCGGGTCATAAGTAAAACAAATTTTGGAAAGTTCACCTCAAAAGAAATATCTAGTTGACAGCTTTTACACAGAAACAATCCTGAATGGAAACAGTGCTACAAACAGAGACTGAAAGAACTTGCCAAATATTTGATTAGGAGGCATTTATAGCAAGATAACAAAGTAAGGGAGATATAAAACCAATTAAATCCAGAGAAACTGAAAAAGCAATACTCCTTGCCAAAAGTATGACCTGCCCAAAGCAGGCCATCTGTTAAATACATGTCAAAAATGTCACTGAGATGCCAAAAGGCTTGGTCCTCAGCAGTTTCCTCCGGAGACCTTTATGGCAGCACAGATTCCAGGCCTCTGTCTTTTAAAGGTCAGTTCCAGGAAAACAGGTTACTTGCACCAAAACAACTGTGAACCGAGCAGCCAATATTGCCCATTAGTAAAAAGTCTCTTTGGAGTGTTAGAAGGACGGGTTAAGTGTTAGTGAGTATGGCCTTAACTTTTTAAAGGACTGCTTAGGCACTCGAGTTTGCAGGTGAACACACCAATGGGGCACTTCTAGAACAAGAAGCAACGTGATACTGAGGATCAGCCTGCCCTGGGTGGAGAATGAGACCCCAGAAGATGGCAGGCTGGTAAAGGGAAGCCAGGGGTTTGGGTGCGGACAAAAAAACTCATATTAACTCCCCCCAGTCCTTGGCCATAGGATCCCATGATCCCCTCACTGTCCCCTTGAGCGCCTCAGGGAGCTCTAAGCAAGCGGATGAGGGTCTTCTGTGCGAGACGGCGAGTGTCCTGGGTTGGGGAGGGAGCAGGGTGCAAGCCTACAGGCCTGAGGGAGTCCTGAGGAAAAAGAGTCAGATTGAAGACCACGCCAGGTGGCATGGGGGGGGGGGGGGGCCACGAACCTGGCCTGCAGTTGTTCAGAAGCCCTGGAGGTTAAGTGGACCGGGTGGCGACGCCTTGAGAAAAAAGAAAATGTAGAGGAACTGAGGGGAGTGAAAGAGCCCCTGAGGTTAGGAGGATGAAAATCTGTCTTTGCAAAAGGGTTGAGGACTCTAGAAGCCTTGAGGTTCTAGAAGGTGGTGGGTGATAAAAAGAAAGCCCGGCCTTGGGAGGCGCTGGCGTCCCCTTTCCTGCCTTCAGCTCAGCACTGGAGGGACTTCCCAGGGCCAGGGCATTACCTGCCAGGAGCCAACGGATCTCCTCGGGGAGGGCGACGGCGGCCTGCATTTGGTGGGGCGGAGGGGAGGCCGAGTGTGTGGCGGGAGAGGGGCCGTGAAGGCCTGGGGCCGAGGCCGGCAGGCGGGTGGGAAGGAGGTGGGCGGAACGGCGAAGGCACCTGTACCTCCGTCGCCGCAGCCACAGACGCCGCGGGGCTGAGCCGCAGGGCGGGGCTGCGCTCAGGAAGTGGCGCGCGCGCGCGGCAGGGCGGGGGGCACCCCAGTGGGGGGGTGGGGGACACCTGTGCGTGGTGCACACGCCATGCCTGCCGCCAGTGCCCTGAGGGAGAAAGTTTGGGGGGTACCACACAGGGCCCAAACGGTGCCCCTCTAGACCTCCCACCAAAACAAAAGACTAACTGCGACTCCGGGGAACCTTGTCTCTTGGCGACTTCACATCCTAAGCACTGTACAGTGGCCTCAAGGGGCAGGAGAAAAAGCCACAGTGGTGCCCCAAAAGGGGCGTGGGGGACAGAATCCGAGGTCCCCACCAAGCCGAGCAGCACTCAGTTCCGGATCCAGTTCGTACATCCACACCCAGAAGCCAGCGCAGAACATTCGCTGTTTCGGGCAAACCAGGATGTTTAAAGGGAATGACCCTAAGTCCCAATGAATAATCCAAAGTCACTAACATTTGGGAGAATCGGAGCGATGGACACAGGGAGCCAAAGTCTCCCTTCCTCTCTGAGGCTGAAAGGATGTGCGGAAAGCAAGAGGTGCCCTGGGGAGAAAGCTGAGGGAAGGGGAACTGAGCCCCTTCCTTCTAAGAACTAACAAAGGAAGGAAAGTGAAGGACAAGCTCACAGATAAGGCTTCTCTCGACCTGATTCACAGAACAGGTGTCCATGTCCTGGTGTGATACCGATGTAATATTGCAAGACGTTACCATTGGGGGAAACTGGGGAAACAGGATGACTGTATCATTTTTCATAACTTCTGTGACTATGCAGTTATCTAAAAAATAAAGTTAGGTTTTTTTTAGGTACAGTGGGCCAAGTGCCATGAAAAAAGTACAAAGTGCCATAGGCTATAAAAGGAGGGAGGTGAATATAAGAAAAGAAGGGAAGTGGGGGGGTATGTGTGAATTTGAGATGGGCTCTGAACACCACAGACTTGTAGAGGCAGAAGGGCTTTCCAGGTGGAAGAACCCGGTGTAAGTAAAGATAGAAAAGCTTCCTCCTGCTTGAGGAACAGTTAACAACCCTCTTTTCCTGGATGGTGTAGGGAAATTACAGTTGTCAAGAAAAATGGAAGCTCTAATGTGAAGGGGCTTGGAAGTCAGAGTGAGGATTTTGACTGACATCAATTGAGTGGGCAACAGGGAGCCACCGACAACTTTTGAGCCGGGGAGTGACCTAACCTGGGTCTTTGCGTTGTGTGTTATCTCCCGCATCTCACTTCACCTCTACCTTTTTCCTTCTTTGTGAAAAGCGGAGTTTCTGTTCTCAGACTCTGCTTACAGAATATGCGAGAAGGATTGGGAGTGGTAAGAGAGAAGATGCAGGGAAGATGGGTGAAGTGGTTTCCACAGCAGCCTCAGGGGAAATCATGATGGATGAAACCACAGATATGGGAGAGGAGCAGCAAGGAGAAATTGCCCAGAAGGACACATGGTAGCAGGGCCTGCTTCCTGGCAGTTTCCCCTCCTGAGATACAGTCTCAAGGTTGGAAGCTTGATCCTTTACGAGGTGCAGTGGCTTTGAGCCATCTTTACATGTCTGCACCCGAGATCTGAAGACATATGGTGCCTTGGTTTCAGGGTCACATGACCCATACATACATGGCAGCATATTGGGGTGGGGGCGGAGGGACAGAGGCTGGCAGGAGTCTCTCGGGAAGCTCGCTCCTGCCATCCCTCCTTCTTGCTCTAGGTAAGTTAACGATGGGAAGGCTGCCTCCTCCAGGCTTCAGAGCAAATACCAGGTAGGTCCCTGCTGGGGCATCTTTACCGTACTCACTGCACCTTCTGTAAAATTGTAGCTGTTCTGGAATCATTTTTGAGTACTTCCGACATGTGTTTAAAAAGCAAGAGAGGATATATTTGAATTTCCTGTACTATCGTTGCAATTTTTCTCTAAACCTAAAACTATTCTAAAACACATCAGGGGAAACACAGTCCTTCCTACATGTAACCCCAGCACTTTTCCTTGCTTCCCCTCTCAGCAATAGAAGGGAATTTGACAACCTTGCTGTCTTCTTCAAGGATATTTGTCAGATGCTAAAATAGGCTACAAGCTAATGAGTTGCTTGATAGGAGCGATAAACCCCGGTAATTGCACGCTTCCCAGGCCTCACTACCTGTCATAGCTTACTTATACTGAGGGATGTGGCATAAACTTGTGGAGCGGGTATTCTACATCCATTTTAGGTGATAGAGGTAGAGGGAGGTGCAGTCAGTGTTGGGTAGTGTGCAGTGGGTGACTGGCAGGTTCCAATACAGCATTGTCATGTTGCATCAAGGTTCCTCATTGCAGAGAGAAACCTGCCTCCACACATGAGCGCAGCCCCTCCTTAATCATCTGAGGACCCTGGTTCAGCAGTCAGCCTCACTCCTAATGACATTCTGTTAAATGGACAAATTCCTTTGAAGCCTTGTCTTTCTTTGAAATCCAATTTCGAAGGAAGCCAAATCTGATTGGGGGTAGCCATGGAAACCAGACCTAGAAGTCTTAGAGGAGGTGGAGAGAGGCAAGGCAAAACGTGATAGTCAAGAGTCCTTTAGTGCTCTGTCGGAAATATCAAAGGGATCTGGAGAGGTTGGCAGCAGACGAGTCCCTGCCCGGGTCCTGTTCTGTGTGGCTGGGTACCATGTGGCTGTCATGAAAGTAAGCAGCCAGCTGTCTCTGCACACAGGCAAGGGGATGGAGCAGAATACACAAATCCCAGGTCTGTCTGCCTCCCTCTCCTTCCCCTCCCCCCAGCCCAATTCCAGCAACCGTCTTAGCATCCCCTTCTTAGCCGCCTGGCCCTTAAAGGCGAACAACAAATGAATGACAAGGTTAAAATACAAGGCCCTCACAGATAAGAGGTCCTCTGGAGCAGAGGCCATGAAATTAATCTGGAATTCCTTGTAATTAGATAAGATAAGGGTATCTAAAGAGATGCAAAGCAGGCAGGAATGGAGTCCTGCCCGCACAACATGCAGAAAATATACTGCCTGGCCTACTGGGGCCCCTCACACACTGTCAGCAGACAGAAGACACAGAAAACAGGGCCCATGCCAGCTTCTGGGCTGCTTGGAGATGCCGTCTACATGTTCTCATGCCAGGTGGGCACTCACTAAATATGCATCCACGGGGTGTCCAGAGGGCTTAATCAAGAAGCAACAAAAGCATCTGGCACCCAAATGGCATGGGGTGGGAACAACTGCAAGCAAAGCAGGGGCTGGCTGGCGACGCTCTGCCCTGGGCAAAATGGGTCTGGAGCGGAGACTGCAGCGGGCAGGCTCCTGGGCTTTATTCTGAGCCTGCTATTGATCCCTGGATGCTGGGTCACGACATGCGGCGGAGCTGACGTCTGCCCTTTGGATGTGCGGCTACTGCCTCTCAGCCCCTCAGTCCCAACCCCATCAACCGGGTTTATTGACTCTTTTATTGACGATGTTGGGACCTAATGAGGACAGGAGCTGCACACTTCATTAAGGGCTGTGGAAGGAGAGAGGATGCATCCTGCCAGTGCCAAGAACCAGGCTCACTGCAGCTTTTCAAGGCCCCGGAAACCAGGTCTCATGCCACCCGAGGGAGAGGAGACAAACGCAAGATGCTCACTTGGGCACATCACTTCAGTGGCTTTAAAATGCAGGGTTTCCACAACTCACCAGAAGCCTTGCTCTTACTAATCAGCTAACCTTTCGACTTAGAAGGGTCCCATTGTACACACACTCACACAAATGCACTTCGATGGTCTCCCCCTTCCAGCTCACACTGCTAGATTCTCTGCGCTAATACAACAAAACAAGCAGGTTCTCATACAATATCAAGGAATATTCCCAAAGCAGGTTCTCTATGAAGCACAGGCTCAGAACAGAACAAGGGACTATTAAAACTCATATGTTCAAGGTGATCAAATTCAAGATGAGGAACAGACCCAGTGCTCTGCCCAAGGGGCCACCCAGCTCACCAGGGGCTGCACTGGCATTAGAATCCTGGTTCTCTAACATTGGTCCAAAGCTCTTGCAGAACTGAACTCCGGAGATGGATAATTACAGCCCAGGGATCACTGAGCAGCTCTGTGAAGCAATTGTGTTGGTCCCCCTCCATCTAAATAGTAACATCTCTTTCTTTGTTCTTTATCTTATCTTTCTATCAATCCCCTTATTATTTTCCCCTGTCTTCCCCAGTCATGTTTTTTGTTTCTGTATCTTCTTTGCCTATCCCTTAGACCATATTAGACATCCCCCATGGGCACTGCTGGGCCCAGCAGAGGCCCTAAAGACCAAGGAGGTTGCTGACTCTGACATTCTCTGTCTTTGATTGGTTCTCTTGGGAATCGGAAGAGGAGGGAGGGAGGTAGCATGCAGAATGTGTCAGCTGGAGCCAGATGAGGCTGTGCACTCTGAGTGAGGTGTGCGGGCCCGGCAGCCTATGGGGTTAATCTGCACAGGAAGCAGGTGGGGCCAAGACAGATTTTCTAGGCTAGATATTCGCAGACATGATAACTTTGGAAAACTATATAAAAGGAGTAGCCATTTCTTTTGGGGTGGTTAAGGAGGTTAAAAGTAAAGAATAGAAGGACAGCAATTTTCTAAGGTTGAAATGGCTTTCTTTGGTTTCCTTTCATCTGTGTTTCCAAAGGAAAAAGTTTAAACTCCCTAAGTCCCTTCCTTTATTTTCTGCCTTTTCTTTTCCCTCGCTTTACTACAGGCCTTAGAATTCAGGGTTGAGGCAAGGGGATCAAGTCGAGAGAAGGGGGAGTTACTTAGAATCTGACAGAAAGGCCTGGCCTGCATGGCACACATGCGCACATGCTTTGGAGGAAAACTCACACTTAGAGGAGCTGATATAATCTGACCAGAATCACCAATATTCACAAATACCAACGGAAGCACTCCCTGGATTCAGAGATAACAACAGCAATGGCTGATAGTTTCAATGCAAGAAAGTGGGTAAAAACACCTTTCCCCTAATGGAC